TTTTGTGCTGCTGATTTAACCTAGGGGCTAGTACAAGCAAAGGACATGATCTACCTCCATGCTAGCTCCTGAGAGGTTTAATTATTCTGGTCAACCCCTGGGAGAGTGGACTTATAGGGGTTTTTCTTTAAAAAGCAGAACACTTGTGTGGCACTAGAAATATACAAAACAGAGAAGTCTAAACGGGCAGAGGTGGTGACATAGATGAATGGCAGGAATTTACAAACATTGAAGGACAGAGCCAGTGATTTGACGTGGGTATGAGAAAGCTGATGATAGGTAGGATGGCACAGCTCATCTGCTCTCTTACCACAAATTGTACAGGGCAGAAAAAAAAAAATCTTAAAAGACTTACTAGTGTTTTTCGTGCCTTGAAACTGGAGACAAGGAGCTTCCTTTGGTTTAAGCGAAATTTAATTTTCACAGTTAAAAATGTTGGTACTATACCTGGAGCCTGGATTTCTTCATTTTCAGAGCTGTCTTCCTTCCTACAGTTTATGGGTTTTATTCATCCCCTAATTCCAACTTAAGTTCCAGTTCTTTTTCTCATCCCACATCTATCATCAGGTGAATGGTCCAACCTTTTAAAACAAATTCCTCTTAAGGTTACTCAGAAACAAGAGGAATGCTATGGTGTGTGTGTGGGGGAGCGTTGACAATACAGTCCTATATTTTATTCACAAATTTGATTTTAAGACAATTGGGGGAAAAAATCAAATACTAAAATGTTAAGAAATACAATATTGCTAGAATTAAACCAAGTTTAATTCTTTGATTAGATGTATAGCGGCAGAACTAACAGCCTCAACAAATGAAATCAGCACCCATTTTGGGCAAGCAGCATTTCCACCTTCACTCTAGAGGCTTTTAAAAACGGAGCGACCAGGCTGTTACCCAGGTGCTGTGAGAAAAGGGTAAGTCAATGTTTGTCTGCAGTGTTTTCTCAACCACAATACCTGTATTTGTAACCAGCTGTTTTATTTATTGCCACTCGAGTCCAGGGGCCCCAGACAATTAAAAATAGCACTTATTCATTTGCCTGCTGCCAAGAAGTATGACGGCACAAGGCACCCACAGGCGTTCACAGACAAGAATCCGAGCAGCCGGTAACCGGTCCCTGGCGGCCTTTAATCATGCATTGCGGGACGCAGCAGCTGCGGGCTGTGTGTGTATGCATCCCGAGAACCTAGCAGAGTCTTGCAGTGTTGCCCAAAACTTCATGTTGTCTCCAAGGGTTTAAATTAGGAGAACTCCCCTTACCTGTCCCACTGTGCCTGACTATTCTCATCTGCTAGGCCACAGCGCAAGCTTTCCTTCCAGCTAATTAGAGCCGCCCCGGAAGGGTACTGACCAATGCGCTCGTTCCGCCCCACATGGGGCAGGGCCTCAGACACTTCCGAGGCCGCCTCTTACGTAGCCTGCGTGCCGCGGCCGCTTTTCCCAGCGCCTGTCGCCCCCTAACGGCAAAGCTTCCTCAATGCGACGGCCTGACGCGAGCACCAGCTATGGAGCCGCAGGAAAAGGCGCGAGCGCTCCGGGAGCCCGTCGATGGGCCTTTCAGGGCCTCGGGGTCGCCACCTCCGGGTAAGCAGGAGCGGCCGGAGGGTGGCGCGTCGCTGGCGGCAGCCCCGGAAAGCACAGATGGGGACAGCTCGAGCGCCGATGGGCTGTGGGACCTGCCGGTGGAGAATGCCGAGCGCAGACCGGAGTGCGACCGCTGCAGGTGAGCACGGGGCGTGGGCGTGGCTGGGTCAGTGGGCGGGGCGTGCGCTTGCGCCTATGCAGCTTCCGGAGCTGATGCGCCCCCTGCCGGCTTGGCGGACTCGGAAGTGTCTACCACTGCTTCAGTTTGGATGCTCATTATTTAATGTGACTTTCTGCCAGACTTTGAGCAGGTCCTGGGATGAACAGACATTAGTTCTGTTTCCAAGAAAGTTAAGAACCTTTAATAAAAGGAACTTTCAAGGCATAATGACATTAATACTTAGAATGTTTAAGTGACCTCGTCATCAAAAAATGGATTGGAGAGTAACTAACAGGCTGCTTGTATTGAGAATTTCGAATTTATTTAGAAATAGTTACTGACCACGGGGCTTTTTAATCCCAGCACTTGGGAAGTGGAGGCAGGAGGATCAGAAGTTCAAGGTCATTCTCAGCTCCTTAGTAAGTTAGAGGCTAGCCTGAGTTGCATGAGACCTTGTCTTAATTTTCAAATGCCTGCTATGTGCAGGCATTTCTAGACCTAAAAATTCAGTGGAGACATGGTCCCCACTATAGCTAGGTATCTACACTCTAATGGAGAGACAGTTTGTTAGATGGGCAATGGCAGCAACCAGCACTGAGTGTTCTTGAAATGCCTGCCTGTGATTTCTTTTGAGGGTTATCTCAGTGTGTTGATGCGCTTCAGCATTGTGATACACTTCCCCCTGCTATTGAGATAAACTGCTCTCTTTACCTCTTCGATGCACAATGCACGGGCTTATTTCCCACTGATTGCTGAAGGTCTTCAGCTGTTCTCTCCCTCTCCCTCTCTCCCTCTCCCTTCCCCCTTCTCCCCTCTCCTCCTCTACCCCCTCCCACTCCCTCTCCCCCTTTCTTCACCCCCCTTTCCCTTTTCCCCATCCCCCTCTTCCTCTCTCCCTTCTCCCCCTTCCCTTTTCCTCCTCTCCCACTCTCCCCTTCTCCCTCTCTTCCTCTACCCCCTCCCCGTTCCCCCCTCCCCTTCTAACTTAATTACCAGGTAGTGTGTTGTTTTAGCTTTCTCTTATTTTGATAAAGTACCTGAGGTACCCAGCTTAGAAGGGGGAAAGTTTATTTTGGCTCTGAGTTTTCAGCCATGGCTTAGCCTATTTTGTTGGGTGTGCAATGCTGCACAGGTCATTGTGCATGGAGTAGAGGATGGCTACAGAAAGGGCTAAGTGCACATTTCCCACTCAAGAGCATTTACTCAGTCGCCTAACCTCTCTCCACTAGGCTCCACCTCTTCCAGTAAGGCCTTTTGACACAGGGCATTTAGTGTGTGTGTGTGTGTTGTGTATGTGTTGGGGGGCATTTTAGATCCCAACTAAAGCATGCCTCTACTTCCTTAAAATATTTCTCCAGTTAGCCATCAGATCCTGTAACTGCCCAGAAATGGCTCTCTCTACAGTTACCAATAATCTTGTGCCATGAAATCCAGTGGATCTTTTTCATATTTTTCTAGGTCAGTTGGCAGCACTATGTAGTTGTGTACTCTTCAAATACTCTTTACCTTGGATTTATATGACTTCTTTGTCCCAGTCTCCTTTGCCTCTCCTATGCAGGTTCTAAATTTTGGGCTTCATCAGGTCCTGATTCAACATCCTCTTCTTTCTAAACCTTACACACTTCCTACTGATGATTTCTTCAATTTCATGATAGATTATCTTCTCCCTATGTTACAATTATTATTATTTTTCTTGTCTTGTCTTTTTGACAGGGTCTCATGTAGCCCAGGCTGGATTTGCTGTATAGTCTAGGGTGATCTTGAACTTCTGATTCTTAGGCCTCATTTCCTGGACTTGTAATGTGCAGTACCACACTCAGTATATCAACTGAGCTATAGCCTCAATGTCTTATTTTCTGAAACTTAAATCAACTAGATTATGGATGATAATTTTTAGGGTAAAATTAGGAATTCTGAAAATTTAATTATTTATCCATATACAAGCATTATATTTCCAAGGAAAAAATTAATTCATTCTTTCTAGTTTGTATAGAAAATGTATTTATTCTTGAAAGTGAATTGTTCATAATACATGCACAAAGCTAACTGATTTATAAATTACTGTGTAAGCTAATCATATGTTCAAAGCTGAGCAAAGATGATATATGTTAAGAGGGAATTTTTCCCTTAGTCTTAAGCCTCTAAAAGGAGTGATCAGTTTTAAAAAACACATTAGAGCTTTTAAATGTCTGATTTACTTTCCCCAAGCAAAATAAGAATTATATTATTACTCTCAGGTAAATAGATATTTTCTTCAAAGAACATCAAAGCACATTAATTCCTTAAGTTCATTTGCCCCAAATTAATAATTTATAGTTCTAGTAGTGATTATGGAGTTAAGGACTATGTATTCAAGTAATATTCTTTAAAATTTGGTTTTATTTAAAAGGAGTTCATAGATGGGTGTGGTGGCACACACCTTTAATCCCAGCCCTGGGAGGTAGGGAGAGAGGGGGGAATGTCCATAATTTCAAGGCCACTTTGGTTTACATAGTGAGTTCCGGGCCAGCCAGAGCTATATAGTGAGCTCAAAATCAAAACAACAAAACGAAACAAAAAAACAAAACCTAAACAAACAAGCTCATAAGTTACAAAGTATTCAAAAGTATTGTGTGTGTGTATGTGTTTGTTCATGTGTGTAAATGTGGTTGTGTGCATGCCATGGCTCATGTGTAGAGTTAGAGGATGACCTGGGTTGTTGGTCCTCACCTCTCGTCTTGTTTGTGGTAGGGTCTCTTTTTGTTGTTTTGCTGCTGTATATGCCAGGCTAGCTGGTCCTGAGCTGAGATTACAGACTCAGCTATGGCGCCTGGCCTCATGTGGTTCTGGGGATTGGAACTTACGTCCTCTTGCTTGTGTGATGAGTGCTTTACCCACTGAGCCACCTCACTTGTCCCTGTGTTTTCTCTTTTATAAACTGACAGTGTCAGATGATTTATAAGAGGAAGAGCTGCTCTAGCTTTGATGTTTTATTGCTTCTACACAGAATAATGAATTATGTATAAGTGGGCAGTAGGGACTATCTTTAGTAGATTAGTTTTCTACTGCATATGATATGTGTTTGCAATAAGATATATTTTTGATTTTTTTTGTAATCCAGAGATTGCTTTCTGTTTCCTTTAGCTATGACTACTTTTAATTATTTTGAAATGACTAATTTTTTATTGTTTATTTTTCAATCCTCTTGCCTCAGCCTCCCAAGTGCTGGCATTACAGGTGTGTGCCACCATGCCCAGCTAATTTTGTCTGTTTTGAGGTCAAACTTGTATCTGTTGAGTCTTTTGATCTGTCTGTAGTCAGATTCTCTTTTATCTTGGTATCTCTTCACTTTTCAGTATCTATCCAGGTAGATCTGCATATAGTACTGGTAGGAATTTATTTTTCCCCTGCTCACGTGGATTTTTTTAATTTTAAAAATTCATTCTATTGGAAGCCTAGCAAAAGATGGGGAAAGAGGGAAAAGAGGGGACATGAAGGAGGAAAGAGGAAATGGCGAAGTGAAGTAGGCAGAAGTGGTGTTCCAGGACTATTCAAAGACAAAACCAACGAGAAAATAGAAAGAAAAGATACTCAGTGAGCCCACTGACCTTGCAAAAGTGATTGGTGGAAATGGCTCAATAGAAATATGTGTAGTTTGTTTACATAGACAAGTTGCTTCACAGACTCATCTCTTTCTTGAATTGTAATAACATATTACAAATTACAATACTTATTATTTTAGCCATCTCTTATGTTTACATTCAGTGACATAATAATGTTATATAGTCATCATCACTGTCTGAACCCAAAAACTTTTGTTTTCATCCCCAAATAAACTCTGTCTCTAATATTTTTCCAAACCCTCCTTCTCCAAACTCTGTGACCTCTATTGTGCTTATTTTTTCTTTTTCAGTATAACACAACAAATAAGTAAAGGTTGGGCATATATCTGGGTGTTATGCACTGCTTTTTAATACTTGTATTCATTGTAATGTATATTATCATTACCTACAGTCTCCCTCAGTTGCAGCTACAACTTTAAGTTTAGTATTCGTTTTGCAACTTTATTCTAGATGACCCATTGAGTGGAACCATATAATGTTGTCTATCTGTATCTTATCTTAGTTAATCTGATCTTTTCAAGTGCATCCATATTGTATCACATATCAAAATATCATTCTTTATCAGATTTTTATGTACATACCACACTTTGCCATTACCCATTCATTTGTTGAGGGACCTGTGGGTTGTTTCTCCCTTTTGACTATTCAGACATCTGCTTCTCCTGCCTGGTTTTAGTCCTTTTCCATTTCTATTTTGGAGGTAGATATTTAGGAGTGGAATTTCTGGATCATATTTTGGTTCTGGATTGAACTTATTGAGGAACTGCTAAACTGTTTTCCAGATAACTGGGCTGTTTTGCATTCTTATCAGCAGTGTGGGAGCTTGTTCTCTTCTGCGCATCCTTCAACATTGATCTGTTTTTCTCTTTTAAAATAGCCATGTAGTAGGTATGAAGTGGTATCTCAGTGTGGTTTTGATTTTCACTTTGTCAGTGACTGATGTTACTAAACGTCTTTTCATGTGTTGGTGGGTCATTTGAATATCTTCTTTGGAAGATATTGTTCAAGTCTTTTTGGCAGGCTAGTTGTAATGAGTAGGCTCTGGCTAAAATCAGACTGAGTTTGCTTCCTGTCTGTTGTGATTTTGAAAACATTACTGAGCATTGTGTACCTCAATTTGACCAACTGTGAAGCTGTGAAACTTATCTACTTCATAGTGTTCTGAGCAGGATCAGGTGACTGAACATGGACAGAGTATTTAGAACAGTGCCTTTTACATAATAATCAGCTAATATTAGCTACATTTATTTTTAGGAATCTGAAAGCTTTGTCTTAGCTTTTGAAAGAAAACTTAGTTTTTGTAGGAAATGTGTTTCTGAGCTCCAGAACTTGTTTTTATTGTGATAAACTGTATAGGACATAACATTTGTCATTTTA